GAGGTGTTTTGAGGTCATACCTTGTGTCATGGACTCTGCTTGAGCCTCTGGCTCCTCCTAAACCCACTTCCCTGTCTCTTCTGTATACCCTCCCATTTCACCGCCTGTCAACCATCAGATTGCTCACCTGCTCACTCAGCCACACATCTGGAACTCATTTGCTCATTTACACTGTGGATATAAACCCGTCAGCTTTTCCATGTTCTCTGCCAAATCGTTGTGTTGTGCTCCTGCCTGCTTCACATCTCACCATTCTGTATGTATTGCCCATCTTGAATTGTGAATCGTGCTTGCGTCTCTGTTTTCGACCTCTGCATGGCTGAACTGATTTCTGGTTCTGACAGGGAGTCTTCACCGTAGCCCAAATTCACGTCATGCCTGACCCTCAGCTGCAGTTCCTGGTCAAGGTTGAAGCCTTGGATGTGGGGGGTGGGGGCCATCCTATCTTAGAACTCCTCTAAGGACAGTAAATTGCATCCCTTTACATTTTTCTCCCACCATTTGTTTCTTACAGAGAGGTACTACGACAATGGGAACAGAAAGCTGCCAGCTGTCAAGCTGGCATTGGAGAAGTGGAGGCATGTAGGCAGCAGAGAAACCATTCCAAGTGTGAACTGACCATAGGAGCCTCAGGTACATTAGGACAGTCAAGTGGCTCCGCTGCAGACAGGTAAAGTGGGTCTTGTTCTTTTCTCGGTTTAACTTCTCCTCCTATCGCCCTAGCTGGAGAGATGTGAAACCTGATGCCCTGTCATGCCAGTTTGCTAAGGAGGGAGAACCCTCTGAGCCTGGCACAATCCCGCCCAGCAAGAAGTCCTGGAGGCTCTCTGGGATCATTCATTCCCAGGTAATGAGCATAGGTGAAAACTGTTTGTTCCTCTGTTTGTCCTCTCACTGGTATTTCAGTGGACTTGCATCTAGAAACATCACTTCACTGCATGGTGAACCAGAACCCATCCTCTTGGTGCCAACTCTTTGCATGTGGTAAATATGCCCACAATTCACTGTCTGTCACCTCTGCAGGACTTTTGTTGTTTGTTTGTTTAAGAAGGTTATTGTTGTTTGAAACAACAGTATTGGTGTTGTCGTACTTCTTTTGCACTGTTTCATCTTTTTTGTGTATTTGCATGAATAACTATTGTATATATGTCCCTGTGACACCACTGTTTTCTTTGTTTGTTTTTTTTTAAATTCCAATAGTACAAAACAAACAAACCAAAAAAAAACAAAAAACTACCGAGTTATAATAAAACTATGTGAGAGTATACATATAAGTTTTCACTGTCAGTGTAAATGCATTCTCTGCTACAGCAACAACAATAGCAGCAACAACACCTACAGCAAGTAGTAGGACAATGTGGACACCTAAGCCTCAGTTTAAATGAAAGAATTTTATTTATTTAGATATCAAAACAGCAAATCAAATAACATTTAATTTAAAAAAAAAAATAAAAAAAAAAGAGAGAGTACGAGGACACTTACCAAACTAAATATTCCACAAGTTTTAAATGATAAGACAATAGATTTACAGTTCAACAGTATATGGACATCCAATTGTGGCTTCAGATCCGCTTTTGTCACTTTTTTTTTTTTAAATCCTTGCTGTATTTCTTTAAATCTACTCACAATTATGTGTTTCATACTGTTGCTGGTGTTCCTTTAACCTGCATTTTGGGTCAAATATTGTTACACACCTGAAACAAAATGATGACTGATCATGGAGTTAACCTCGTCTTTGATTGTAAAGAGTGAAGACATTCAGTGTTTTTCTGAAAAACATGTAAAAGCAGAATTCATACAAATTAATGTAAGAATTAATTCATTTGTAGTCTTGGTCTAGAATGTATTTTAATGAGTGAAAGCTGTTCTGAACACTGTCCAAGCCATTGACAAGGTCACCCCAAAGCCCACAAAAAATCCCAGACCCCTGCTGGGCTGAGGCAGAGCACCAACGTAGGCAATAGTGTGGAAGATCCGAGAGCCGGCAAAGAGGCGGAAGTGAAGCAAAGCGGTTGAGAGCTCAGGTCCAGTTAGAGCGTAGAGCAGGCCAATCAACACGAAGGGAATAACGTTCTCCAGGTCATTCTGGTGACACCTAGAGGACAAAAACACACAAGTGAGCCATAGTCCCCTCAGAGCACTGAGGTCATGCTTAGTTTGGCATCAGCTGTATGGATTCACTGTGTAGCCTGTAACATCGATCACAGTGGTGCAGGTGTACAACACAGACACTAAAATCTGTTTGTTCTGACTGTTACTCTGCTCATTACAATAATGGCAACTTTGGCCATAGCCAGCCCAAACCCTTTCTATGTAATAGTGTGGGTTGTTTATTTATCCACGATTTAATTTTTATGTAGATTTAAGTTCATAAGTTCTCAACAGAGTCCTTGAACCTGATTCTTTAATAGCCTTTTCAAAGATCGGAGCCTGAGCATAAACTTGATGTGAAAGTTTTATTTTGAAATTCTCAGTCAGTGTTTGTCTGTAGTTGTTATTACTTCCTCTCTTTGTGTTTTGGCTTTTGGCCTCCTTTCTTGATTGTCTGGCCTTTACCCTCCCTCTGTGTGTGTGTGTGTGTGTGTGTGTGTGTGTGTGTGTACACTGATCTTGTGTGCGTTTTAATTGTTCATTTCTGAGACATCAGGTGCTATCTATACCTGCGGACTCGCTCCACATCAGGATTTACACCGACAAGTTTCTTGTCCACTGTTGAGGAAAATAGTTTGGTGTCTTCCAGGTTTGCAAACACCTGAGGAGACATCAGGAAGTAGATCAGGTTCCAAACTCTCACGCAGTGTTTTTTTCAGTGTAAGACAGCTGTTAGGTAATACAAGTACCTTTCTCGTCAGGCGAAAGTAACTGGTCCATAGTGACATGAGCATCATCTTCACAACGACGATCGTGGCATATGTGGAAAATGCCAAGAGAACCTGGTTGTCCTTCATACTGCCCAGAGATACCATTCTGTCGCTGGAGAACAACAGCTATGCACATATGATGCTGCAAAACTTAAGATATCACAACATGATGATATTTTTGTATGATTGCATTGGATATTACATATAGGTTACAACATACTTATTACAATTAGAAATTTAAAGAACATTGAACTGTGATCTGCCTACAAACACTAACCCAGCACATGGTGTATGTTTTGATTTTCAAATTTAACACCACGCTATGTGTTTAATATGCCATCCACCCGTTGCTATTAGATATAAAGTTTACATATAACATTAAAGCACTTCTTCAATTATTACGTTTGCCACTTTAGAGGAGTCAAGCCAAAATGAAGTTTTGCCAAAGGGGGCCTGACTGAAGGCCCTCCACATCCATATATTTAAAGCAAAAAAATAAAACCACGAGTAGTAATAACTCCCTCAGCATAGAGCACCCACAGTTTTCATTTCCATTGTGGTTCAGCACAACGTGAGTCATCTAAACATGTAAAAAAAAAAAATAAAAAAAAAAGTACCTGAATTATCATAAAACGGATTAATAGATATAGTCAGTTTCTAAATATACAGTTAATTTGAGAAGTTCAGTTCAGGTTGTGCAGTGCAGTATACTCGTAGTATGCAGCAAGTTGCTCTCACCTTGTTTCTGTAGAGTCACAGTGAACAGGAAAAGCTTGTCCAAAGTGCAGTGTTGTCCAAGTGTGATTGCGTAATCAGTGGGAGGCGGCCTGACATGACTGTTCCTCCTCCTGCACACTGATACTCACATATTCCAAGTATTTCAAAACAAAAATATGTAATCCGTATGTGAAGTGTTAGATTTCAAGTGCAGTTCACGTCTAAATATTGTGTGACACATGGATTCAAACTATTGATATGAATCACTTGACACCACATTTAACACATGCAGTTTTTGCACAACACCTTTTGTAAATATATGACCTTTTCTGCAAAGTATTTTATATTCATATTTAAGCTTTAGTACCTGTTTAGTACCTTAAGAAATAATTATCCACACACAAAGTTGAAGTTTATTAGCTTGTTAAAGTTCATTACCTATACACTTTCATCAATACTTCTGGTGATTTAAAGGAAATGTAACGAGTGTTTAATATTTATAGTGAGTCAGTGTGTCCTGCCCAAAGTTTCTCCAACTGACAAAGAGAAGTAGGTTTTATGTTTATAATGAATATCTGTCTGTTTCTCATCTACATGAATATCCCCACCCTCAGCAGCACAAATGGGAGAATGGCATTGTCAGTTGTTTCTGCCAGCGCACCACTGACATTAGAAATGATATATTATATTATAATAGGATGGCATCTCGAGGGATGTCACAGATGGCTTAACTTTGTACCATTTTGTAAATGGCAAATAATTAGAATCTGTCTATAAACATTATCTCAATGTTTATTGTAGGTTGCGACTGATGATTAATGTGCCATGTTAAATGTTTAATAAATAATTTGTAAACATCTCTAAACATAATTTAAGTAGCTGTGATAGTGTGAGTGTATAAAGCACCAACAAAACTGTTTGGCACCAATAAATCTTTTATTGGTGATCTATAACAGAGGGACTATTTGTGTGATATCAAAACTGTGTTTGATCCTCATAAACAGAAAGTCATTGGTAGAATGTAGCACCACACCACAGATACACAGTGATAAGAGATAGGAACAACAGGATACAACACAGTACAACAGCAAGTAAGCAACAATAACTTCATATTAAAAACAATTAAGAATCAAAATTCTAATTTGAGTGATTTTAGAGACACAGGTCACTTTTTTTTAGAGTTTAACTTGACTTTTCCAAAAAAAAAGTGGGAGTCGGTGTCAGTGGACCAAGGGGATGGTGGGGATCAAGCCTGGTTTATGCTTGATGTGTCCACGAGATCTGCGTGACTCCGTTACCTCATTTTAGAAGCCACTCCCCCTCATGTGGTCCTTTCAGGCGGAACATTTTCACGCCATGCATCTCCAAAAATTTCCAGCAATGCGGATGGAGATGGAGACGGAGACGGGACGAACAGGAGCTCCTAGTGGCAGAGGTACAAAAATACTGGCATTTATATGATTCTTCACACAGGGATCACCGTGATAGCCGTATGATGAACAATTTGTGGCGTGAAATTGCGGCCACATTCGGCAAAGAAGAGGAATGGGTGAAGAAAACCTGGAAAAACCTACAGGACAGATACGTTAAGGCAAAAAAGAGCACCAAAGGGCAAAGTGGAGACCCAAGGAGAAGCCACAATGTCTCTATGGTTGTAAGAGAGTTGAGGTGACTCTCAACTTTTACCAAGCACAGGGAAACTGACTCAGATTTTGATTATTACGAGTGTCACATTCATACGGAAAACGTAATCCAGCCTTGACATAGCTTTGATGCTAATCTGAGGTTGGATTTAATGATTTTTGGAATTGGCTAGATACAGATGGACGGGGTTTCCTCAGTAAAGGAGCACTCAAGCAGACACTTGAGATTGAGGACATGTAAATGTCCACCACTGCAAAAGCCCACTTGATTGTCAATGATGCAGTCCGACTCTGAGAATGGATCAGAAGGCTGCACTACGAAGCAAGATTAGTGAGTTAGTGAGGTATGTTGAGCATAAAGTCAGAGGGGTTCTTTGGAGGTTAAATAATTTTCCAGGATAACTTAACCATTTCCAGGACATTTAACTTTTTTTCTCATTTTCCATGTTTCCATGACTGGAAAATTGCTCAATCATTTTCCAGGTTTTCCAGGACGTGTGGGAACCCTGGTCCACGTGAGGCTACGGAAGGACATGTACAGACCAGCATTACCCAGCATCTTCCTCATGAACACCAAGTCAGTGAATGACAAGTTTGCTGAGATATCAGTCACCATCAAAGCACAGAAAACTATGAGGGATAGCTGCATCATCGTCATGACGGAGACCTGGCTTCACTCGGGGATAGCAGATGAAGCTATCATGTTAGCAGGCGGCACAGCACACCAAGCCGACCGGACAAGGGACTCGGGGAAAAGCAGAGGGTTAGGGTTTCTGGTCATCTGCTCCAACAACAGGTGGTGTACCAACGCTACAGTGGCTGAAACACATTTTTCCCCTGATTTGGAGCTTATAACACTCAGACGCCATCTATTTTATTTGGCACAAGGACACACGGTTGTCATGGTAATAATTGTGTACATACCACCGAGTGCTCTGGCTCTGCAAGCAGTTGTTAGCAAACAACAGTCTGCGCACCCGGATGGCATTTTCATTATGGCTGGAGACTTTAATCATGTTGACTTAAGATCTGTGATCCTAAGTTTTACAAGCATGTTACATGTGCAACGAGAGGTCATAACATGCTGGATAAGGTTTACAGTAACATCAAGGGCGCATATAAAGTCTCCCCCCTCCCCCACCTCGGACAATAGGACCATCTGTCCCTGTTTCTCACCCCCGCATACAGACCTCTCATACAAAGAACTTTGCCTGAGGTGAGACCCGTACGGATTTGGTCTGAAGATGCCATCCCACAGCTCCGGGACTGCTTCCACACAACCAACCGGCACATCTTTGCACAGGAGGATTTAACGGACTGTACATCCACTGCACTGTTCTTTTGTCAATTCAAACGTGCATGGAAAACGTCACAGTGGAGACGATGGTCAGACATTATCCTAATAAAAAACAGTGGCTGAACAGTGAGGTCAAACAGCTGCTGAGGGATCGGGACTCTGCTTTCAGGTCTGGAAACATGGAACTATACAGCTCAGCCAGATCCAGCCTGAAAAGAGGCATTAAGCGGGCAAAGGCAGCATACGCAAAGAAGATCAAGGGGCACTTCACAGAGAGGAACCCCCAACGTGTTTGGCAGGGCATCCGTGACCTTCCAACACCAGCAAAAACCTAGCGGAGGAGCAAAATCAGTTCTTTGCTAGGTTTGAAGTCAGTGATGCCCCCATGCTGCTACCTGCTGACAACCTGGCCCTTACTGTGAGTACAGAGGTGGTCAGGAAGGTGCTCCGGGGTGTGAACCAATCGAAGGCTGCTGGTCTTGAATAATCTGGCAGTTATGCAAGGATGTTGTTTGTGGACTTCAGTTCTGCTTTTAACACACTCTTTCCAAGAAGACTGTTCAAAGTGTGCAGTCTGGGTATGGGATTGATCAGAGACTTTCTCACCAGTCAGTCAGGTTGGGGCCCCACCACTCCTCAGTGCTGACAGTGAGCACTGGGGCCCCTCAGGGCTGTGTGCTGAGCCACATGCTGTACACCTTGTTCACCCATGACTTAGCACCAACTCACAACGGCAACATCTTTGTTAAATTTGCAGATGACACAACTGTAGTTGGGCTGATTCACAACAATGATGAGACGGCCTAAAGAGAGGAGGTCCTGAACCTCACTACCTGATGTTCCCTCAGCAACCTGCCACTCAACTCCTCAAAGACAAATGAGCCGGTTCTGGACTTCAGGCGGAAGAGGGAGGAACACCACGCTAACAACACCACGGTGGTTAGATTTATTATGTAGGGGGGTGAGTCTGCACACATGGATGAGATCAAAAGACAAACAGGATGGTGTTCAGTTAACAACCTAACACTGAACATCACAAAAACTAAGGAAATCTTCTTCAGGAAGCAATGTGCACATCCAGCTCCCCTCCACATCAACAGTGACTGCATGGAGAGGGTCTGAACCTTCAAATTCCTGGGTTCCCTGATCTCAGCCGACCTCTGACCTGCCATCACCTCAGTGGTCATCAAAAAGGCACAGCAGTGACTATGCAACCTCAGGGTGCTCAGGAAGAACAACCTGGCTGAAAAGGTGCTGGTGACCTTTCACTGCACTGCCACTGAGAGGGTGCTGATGTACTGCATCACAGAGAGGTACGCCAACTGCACTGTGGCAGACAAGAGGGGGCGTTAGCACATAGCACTGAAAATCATTGGCTGCACTTTGCTGCCCTGAAGGATATCTATCAGTCCCACGGCCTCAGCATAGCAAACAACGTTGTGAAGGACTGCTTCCATCCTGAATCCCACCTGTTTGACTTGTTGCCCTCTGGCAGACATGACAGGTCCATCAATTCAATTCAATTCAATTCAATTCAATTCAATTTTATTTATGTAGTGCGAATACACAGCATAAGTCATCTCACAGTGCTTAACATAGTAATTTACAGACCATACAAATTTATTTTCAGCAAAATCAGGACAAACAGACTTAGAAGCAGTTTCTTCCCCAGAGCCATACTGAGCTCTAATATGCACTGACACTCCAAATCATTAAATTCAATACTATTTTATTTGTATAGCACAGTTTACAACACACGTCATCTCACAGTGCTTAACATAGTAAGGTATAGACCTTACAAATTTAAACAGAGAACCCAACAATCCAAAGTTGCCTTTGGACTTCCTCTGAGCAAGAGGTCGACAACGGTGGGAAGGAACCAATCATTTTTAAAATTGATTCTTTTTCTTGTCAGAACAGCCAGTGATCATACATTACGTCAATGGCTGGCAGCAAAATATTTCTCAGTTAGTTTAGTTTTTGCCCTGTCTTAGTTACACTGCTGCAGGATTCCACTCTGAGCTCCGCCCAAATTACATGGAAGCTAAGCACCTCTGATGGATCTTAAATATCAACAGCCAGGCATCATCCTTTGTACTGCAGATTCCCCAAGAACAATAATCCTGTGATACCCCAGAAGGAGTGTAACGGCAAAAAGCTACATTGATTCCCTGC